TTTATTTATTTTTGACAAATTAACATTTTATAAATTTAAGGTATACAACACGGTGTTTTGATATATTTATACAGTGTAAAGTGATTACCACAATCTAATATATCCACCACCTCCCATAGTTACCCTTTTGTATGTGTGTGGTTAGAACACTTGATATCTACAATCCTAGTAAATTTCAAGTATGTAATATCATTGACCATAGTCACCATGCTGTCTATTAGGTCCCCAGATCTTATTCATCTTATAATTTAATTTTGTCCCCTTTGATTAATATCTTCCCTTTCCCATACCCCAGCCTCTGATAAGTGCCATTCAACACTCTGTTATTATGAATTCAATTTAATATTATTTTAGATTCCATGTGAAAGTTACATCATGTGATATTTGTATTCCTGTGTCTGGCTTATTTCACTTAGCATAACGTTCTCCAGATTCATCCATGTTGTTGCAAATTACAGGGTTTACTTCTTTTTTAGGCTGAATAATATTCCCTTATATGTATACGCTACATTTTCTTTATTCATTCATCTGTCAATGAACACTGTGAATAAGACTGCAATGAATACGGGAGTGCAGCTATCTCTTCAAGATAGTGATTTTATTTGCTTTGGATATATTCCCAGAAGTGAGAGTTTAGCAGATATATTTTTTTAAAATATATTTTATTGATTTTTTACAGAGAGGAAGGGAGAGGGATAGAGAGTCAGAAACATCAATGAGAGAGAAACATCGATCAGCTGCCTCCTGCACACTCCCTACTGGGGATGTGCCCACAACCAAGGTACATGCCCTTGACCAGAATCGAACCTGGGACCCTTGAGTCCACAGGCCGACACTCTATCCACTGAGCCAAACCGGTTTCGGCCATGAGTACTGTTTTAAATGGGAATAAAATAAGCCAAGTTCTGGTGTTTATTGTCTTGTTACATCTGTATTTATACCAGTTGATTTTAATCCTGTCAATTTCTATTGCAAAGGTTAGGGCGTTTCTTATCTCCATTCCAGGGAGTAAAGATTATGTAGCTTAAGCGTGATTGTTTGTAGTTAAAGTGATTAACTACCCGCCTGGCACTTAGTTAAGGGGTTGTATCCCCTCCCTAACCTCAGGGGAAAATCCCCACCTGGGGAAACAACCTTTCTCGGAGAGGTGACCTTGGTTAAAACACATGGCGCTAAGGAGAGCAAACATATTAAGAACAATATGCTATATATGCCAGGTCCCTTGAAACATATGCTGTGCAGATGTTTCTTTCCTGCAGCGACTGTGTCAAGCAGCAAGGATGGACCGCCTTCCAGCAGGGATGTGCCCGCAACCAAGGTACATGCCCTTGACCGGAATCGAACCTGGGACCCTCCAGTCCGCAGGCCGACGCTCCATCCACTGAGCCAAACCAGTCAGGGCAAGCAGATATTTTTGAGTGCCTATTATATGCTAGGCAGGCACTGAATTATGTATTGGGAATATAATGATAGATAATATAGGCACAGTCCTTGCCTTTGTGGAACTTACCATCTATGAAAATAGCAGATATGAAACAATATTTGATATTTCTAATTATGAAAAGTTCAACAAAGGAGGGGGATAGGGTGATAGCATACCTAAGCTAGACTGTGGACTCAATGAAGACTTGCCAGAGTATGTGAAGTCTTGAATGAACTGCAAAATGAGAAAGGGAGAAGGATAAAAATGCACCTCACGCACATGGAACAGCATGTGTGAAGGCCCTGAAGCAGAAAGGAGCATGGGGTATTAGAGGAAACGAAAGCGAGCCAATGTAACTGGAGCTTAGAGAGAAAAGGATAAAAGGTATGAGACTGGAGAGTTTAGCAAGGCCTTTTAGACAATGTTTACAATTTGTGAATGTATTTTAAGAGCAATGGGAAATCATGAAAGATTTAGGTAGAGGAAGACATGATCACATATACATTTTTAAAAGTTTACCTGCAGTGTGGAGCGTGGACTGGAGAGAAGCAAGTGTAAATAAATAAGGGGTCTAGCTGGGGTCTATTGTAATTGTCTAGGCAAGAGATTATGGGGGAAGTCCATAATGAGAGGTGTATATATTTACAATATATCTTTGAGATAAACCTGCCAAGAGTTGCTGATGCATTGGTTTAGGGGTGAAAGCGAATTATATCAGATGTGATTCTTAAGTTTCTCACTTGAGTAATTGATTAGAAAGTGGTTCCATTTCTAAGGTAGGGAACACTGGGCAAATAAGTTTTGAAATGTGGTTGAAATGTTCAGGAGTTAAGTACTGAACATGTTCAGAAGAGATGTTGAGTAAGGTGTTGGATATATTGATCTGGAGCTCAAAGGAAAGACCAGAAATAGGGACTATTAAATTACTGGTTTGTAAAAAGATGGTACATCACATCTCACAGTTGAAGAAACTTCTGATTAAAGGTGAATGTTTAGGTAATCATGGTTTTTCAACTCATAGAAACCTCTAAGTACTAAATCAGTGTTGCAGTGATTTAATAGGGTAGTCAATTCATAGGTATCCATCACCTCATTTTATTATCACTTTAGCCAACTAAAATATTTCAGTTCTCAAAAATAGATGTCCTTAAAATAATAGAAGGAATGGCAATTAAATGGCTTTACTTTATGATATTTACTGAAATTGTCAGCTCTTATATTCATCTTTACTTTGCAAAAAATTTACATAAATACATTTGAAAGAAAAGGTATTTTGAAATTTTTCTCCATGCAGAAGCTTTACATTTTTCTAATTTTTTCCATGCCCAGAGAAGGTGTGATAGCTTCAGAGAAACAACAGATAAATATATGCTGGCAATTATATATTTCTGAGGATCATGCTTTCTAGTCTCTGTAAAAAAAGGGATTTGAAATTTGAGGCAAAACATATTGGAAAATCAGCACTACAGAGTATTTGTTTATTTTGCTTTATCCCATTAGATATAAATTTCATGATGTCAGGCTTTTTTGTTGTCTGTTTTGTTTATTGTTGTAATTGTAGCATATTAATTAGTGTCTTGCACATAATAGGTACTGAATGAATATTTAAGGAAAACTGAAAATTAGTTATACTCATAGTGAAAAGGATATATATGTATATATATACTAGTATATCCAAAGTAAGATAGAATACTTTTATTTATCATGTTTTTAACCACCCATCTATGGTTTATCACTGTTAGAAGAGATTTTTGAAAGTTTCCTGTGTTTACCCTGGGAAAACTATTAATTTCCTTTTCCATTGGTGGTATCAAGAGTCTTATAGATCACACAGATAAGGTCTATTTAACTTCTGATAATACTCATGTACAATGCTGCTAATGATTAAGGCAAAATACAAGTTTAGAGATTTTCCATGGAACCTTAGCAAAGTAACAAAGGTATTGAGCATCTTCAAAAAATGAAACATCATAGTTGTTGCAAATATAAAGGTGAAGACAGTCCCTGTCTCCGTAGTACCTACCATATATTAAGGGAGTCAGAACTAAGCTCAGTTCAACAAACATTTATTAAATTCTTATTGTGCCAGGCTTATGAAAGATACAGGAAGAAAAAGATAAATAAAGCATGGTCCTTGTCTTACAGGGGCTTATAATTTTGGCTGTTGCATATGTGGGTGTGTCTTTTTGTGAGTATGTATGGGGATATGTGTACTGTATACTGATAAATGCAAATACTTTCAGTGCAATATGAGAGGTTATGACAGAGTGGTAACACTATACAGGAAAATTTAATCCAATATAGGGAGGAGGTGAAAGGAGGAGATGGTAAAAGCCAAGCTAAATCTTGGGGATCAATGTTAGCTAGAGGATATGAATATCATTCCATGCTGAAGGAACAACAGGGTGACTGGGGAGCCACAAACAACTCCAGGACAGGTGATGTAAGGAACAGTCCACTACTGCACTTTCTCTGAATTATTTTGGAACTCTTGTAATGTAACTACAATTTTATATTTATAAGGCAGATAAAAAATGTACCTTTCTTTACTCCCATGAATACCCTCTTCTTTGGTTTGGTGGGGCTAGGTTGGGAGGAAGCTGACCTTGAAAATACTTGAGAGCTATATTAGCTGCTTGGCATAGACTACTCAAACCCCATCATCAAATACATTTACTTTAATCACTTTACTGTAAAGGCTATTTTACCTTGATCATTTGTGCAATAAACGCTTATCAAGCGACTAATATGCTTTCATCTTTCTTCCCCCCCTGTTACGCAAGGCTAATTTTGCAAATATATATTGTCAGGGTGGCTGTTTGGACTAACTAGAACAAGTAAAGACGCGATGAGGGTTCCATTCTGGCGAAACTAGAGCCAGAGGTTTTTCGTGGGCTTTCATTGAAAAGACATAGAGGCGAAAAAGATACAGCATATAGTTTGAAAGTATTGGTGTGAAAAATCATGCTTCGGGGGTCAAAACGAAAGTACAGGCTGGAATGAAAATGTCCTTTGTTCACAAAGCAATCCCTTTTCAATTTCTCTCTGTCCTCAGTATCTCCTAACAATTCTTGATTCATCATTGTCAAGGAGTACACAGGTTTCCCCACATTCATCCTAGCCATCGTAGTAAAATAGACATCTCTTTTCTGTTCCAAACTTCCCAGGCTAAACACGCTATTGCACTCGGCCTGGAAAATGAATTGAGCTTTTAACATTCGCGCAAACATTTCAAATAGAATGCTTAGCTACTCGGATCCGCCACTCAAGAACTACAATACCCAGAATGCACTGTTTTCTCTTCCTCTTTCTACCAAGGCAATGCCTAACTTGATCTCATTTTCACAAGCAATAGTCACATGACTTGTTTCCTGTCAAGATGGCGGATGATCTCCCTTCGGAGTTTGATGTGATCGTAATAGGGACGGGTATGTTGTGGCTCTGCTACTTCCCTGACAAAGTATAGGAAGTCTGTTCCTACCAACTCTCTCAGTGGCGAGGGTTGGCGAGAAATGCCAGGTGTTGAGCATGGGAGGGAGGACGGAAAGGAAGTGAGGTAGTCGGGATACAGCGCGGGACTTGCAGCTCCAGGGAGGGGCTTGGGACCCCTGGTGCTTAGCGACATTTGAGTAAGGGTCGATCCGGTCGATGCCGAATGCTGAGGTTGGTTGCTGTGGGTGATTCCTGTAATTTCCTTGAAGGTGGGTTTGCAGTGTCATAAGAATGGAGAGTCGGGATTTTATCAATGGAGACACCTTTGGCATGACATGATTCCTTGTTGATTTCAAGGTGATATTTCCCATCATTTTGTCTCGCCATTTCATAGGAATTTTTCATAATCCTAGGGTTCAGTGCAGCTTGGATACAGCTGAAACCTCAGTTTTTCGAAAAAGATGCTCAGTTGTTACCCGTGTGCGTTTTAATTTACCAGGGCTAGGAAACGGATTCTTTTCTATTGTGTTGAGAAGTGTAGGTAATTGTGTTTTTTGAGGTAGCCATTATTTCTGCTTTATGATGCAGAAAGAAATAATTTTGTTTTCTCAACCCACCTACCTGCCCACAACTAAATGAACTGAGAACAAGCTTCTGCGAGTTCCAGTTCAGATGTATGATCTTATCTTCCCCTTGTTGTCCCACCATTTTATTTTCCATGTTTTGGGTGGAGCCAGAAACCCCTCTGCAATTTCTAGTTAACAAATTATATGTACAACACATGGCAGGAGACATTTGGCAGCAGTTGGTATTTTGTTTTTCTTAACAGTGTAAAGGATGGGTTTTAGATGGGGTGAAATAGATTGTTGGGTGGGGTTTTCTCCTGTCTGCAGAATGTGTTAGGCTGGAGAAGCTCTGGTGGATGAGACCTTGTCCATTGTGTTATTGAATTCAATTTCTTGTCTTCTCAAACAGTAGGAGCAGCCATGTTTCCAGGTCAGGAGTAATAATAGCTACCTGTTTTCCAGTGCTTATTATTTGCTAATTGAGGTGCTAAGCTGTATGAAATCCTTACAACAGCCTTATTAGAGTATGTATTTTCTACACTTAAAGGAAGAGGGAAGGGGCTTTGGAAAGGTTGCAGTTTGCTCAAGATCACACAGCTGTTAAATTTCCAAAGGCCCATCTTATCCCAGAAGGAGAATCAATGGTTCTGACTCTCAGCGTTAACTCATATTAGTAGAAATAATTGGGAAAACTTGGTTCTAGACCTTCCTTAGCTATTAACTGTCTGTGTGAATTGCGAGGGCTAGGTACTTAATTTCTCTGAGCCTCAGTTTCCTTGTTTTTGAATACAGGGAGGGTAAACTAGATAATCTTTTAAGTGCTGCCTAACCAAAAATTCTCTTATTCTAGTTGCACCTGGGTAATTATTCTCAGCACAGTAAAGATATGTTGACTCCCATCCTGAAAACTGCATGACTGCAAATAACTAGTCTGTAATTGCTATGAATAGATATTGGAAGAAGCCAATAGACTATTCAGTTATTCTCTCCAGTCTATCCTAAAATTGAGAACAACATCCATTTTAGAGTAGTTGTTGTACCATACTTGAGTTCTATATAGTTGCCTTTCTTTTTTGTTACCTAGGAACTTGAGGCGTTTAAAAATTTTTTAAGAATCATTGATTTTTTCCTTATCTGGATTAAAAATTGTTGATTGCTAATTCTCACTATTAAATGCTATTAATTCTTATAATAAACTAGAGGTCCGGTGCATTAAATTCGTGCACGGGTGCAGTCCCTAGGCCTGGCTGGCAATCGAAGCACGAGCATCTGGTGTGGAAGGGCAGGTCCCAGCTGACCTCTGGGCCCTG